CCTCTCACACACTGGAACCTCCTGTCCTGAGCCTTTCACATCCCAAACTCCTGCACCCCCACATCCCCAGTCTTCTGCCACAACTCTCCTGTACCATCCACACACTGCAAATCTGTGTCCTGAGCCCATTATACTCCTAGCCTCGAGCCCCTCCTGCACCCCAGCCCAAACTCCTTCACCCTCACAGATACAAGCCTGCGGCTTGGTCAGCACCCCAACCCTCTCTCTTACCCCAACACTCTCCAGCCTGAAGCACCCCAACAATCTCCAGCCTGGAGCCCCCTCTTCTCTACTTTCTCCTGCACCCAAATTCCCTCCCAGAGCTTGCACCACTCACCCGTTCCCAGTGCTTTTTTGTGAGCCACAGTAGCAGTGGAGACAGCGTGAGGAGCTGGGCAAAGTTGTTGGCCCCCCCAAAAAAAGGGCAGGGCCGCGAAGACCCAGGGAAAAGTTAACTTAAAAAAAGAAAAAGAAGCCGAGCCCTGAGACAGATGTAGCAGCACTTATTTTCCCCTAGCGCGCCTTTTTTTTTCTTTTTTTTTTCCCCTCAATGGCTTTGCTTCATGCTGTTTCCACTGCTATTGTGGGTTCTTTGTCTGGAAGGAGTTGGCCACCCATGGTGTAGAAACAGCTTGGAGGAAAAGAGGTGACTATCATGACACCTTATTTGAGTTGTGAGTAATACACAATGATGTAGCAGCACTTATTTTCCCCTAGCGCGCCTTTTTTTTTCTTTTTTTTTTCCCCTCAATGGCTTTGCTTCATGCTGTTTCCACTGCTATTGTGGGTTCTTTGTCTGGAAGGAGTTGGCCACCCATGGTGTAGAAACAGCTTGGAGGAAAAGAGGTGACTATCATGACACCTTATTTGAGTTGTGAGTAATACACAATGTGGTCCCTGGTGCATACAGGGATCCTATTTTAGTTGTGTGCTATGGAAACTTTGAAAAAAATAAGCACTGTACTTTGATTTATAATACAAAGGGGAAAAAAGCTCCTATGGAGGGCTCTAGGTGCCCTAACAAAGATTTAAAGATTCACTCTAAGAACCAGGCGCATCATCAATGAACTTACCACCAAACAATCCTGCAACATAAACACACATGGCAGCCGTCGTCATAACATTTCTGCCCTTCAAAGGCCAGGGTGAAAAGTGGGGGTTTTCAGCACATCCAGAAGGTCAACACATTTTGGTGCATTCTAGATGTAACTGGAGGAGGAGAAGGGAAAGAACATTTTTCTAAGTAGATGGTCCTTCATGAAGGATGCCCAGCTGACAGCTCCCCCTCAAGCTTAACGCACCTATGACTGCAGCTCTACCGGACAATATAGAAGAAGGCAGTTTTTCATATAGGCACATCCCAAGTAATGTAGGGTATTATAACTTAAAACATCACTCTACATTCTGTCTGGAAATGAAGATGCAGCCAAAACAGATCCTAGAGTACTGGTGTTAAGTTTCCATAGTTTTACCAAGTAAACTGCTGTAGACTATGCCGTTGTACACATCAGATTCTTCGTTTATTTAAGGTGAAGCTCCAGGTAAAGCCTGCTTCAATAATTTGATTTGGGGGTAACAGATGCATGGATTGTAGAAATAGCTCCATGTTACAAGCCAGCTGTGCCTGAAATAAAGCTGTTCTTCTGATGGCTATGTAATGTGATCTGCAAGTCCAGTAGTATCTCCAGGCAATGAATTTGTTCAGTACACAACATATTTTGGTTGCATCTCCAGCCTGCTGATATCGTGGCCTGCTGACTTTGACTCAGCTAGCCCTCTATGCCCCACTTCTATCTAACCCTAAATAAGGTGTGTGATAGTGGTGGGGTCAGGTGAGTTAAACAGCTGGGTAGTATTGTCATGAATCCTCAAACCACTTCCTAGTAACCCTATATGTTGTCCTGTATCAAGTGGTCTAATATTTAATTCCTGGTTGTAGCAACTGAATTGAAATATTCTGAAGTTGAATCATAACAAATGTTTGTTTTTGTCCTGATAATTTTTATGCAACTTAAGCAGTAATATTTGATTTCTAACACAACTTTCTCTTTCAGATACGGTATGGCTCATTAAAATATAAAGTGAAGAAGAGGCCTGCAGTGTATTTTTAAGTGAACTATACTTTAAAGACAAACTGCTGTATTATAGTAACTTTATTTAGCACATGTTGTTCAGGATTTGTGTATTATAAACTTTAAGCACATTGGTAGGACTAATTTTTATCAATCTAAACAGCTGTATTAGTTACTTTTCATTTTTAATGGCTTATCATTTTGGCTTGATTGTTAAATCTGGCGAGGAAAAATCTGGTGCTAGGTTTCTGGACTCCTTAAACTTTGTAAGAATTTAATGAATGACAAAAACAAAGCCTGAACAAAGTACTGAACAACTGCAAGTTCAACTGATATTAATGGAAATTGATGTTATTCAGCTCTTACAAAACTTAAGCTTATAGTGTTTCCCAGTTTAAAATGCAAAAATAGATATACTCGAATTTTTTTCTAAACCAAGATTTTTCAAAAAGCTTTTATAGTTGTGTAAAAATGTACAGTTTGACAGTGAATGAAGGTGGGAGAAGGAAAAAAGGAAAGCCATTTATATTTGGTATGTCCTTAGAAGACCTTCTTACGCCTTATTTCTTAATATTGTAATTAATAATAGGTGCAGATGCACTTTGACATCTGTACAACAGTTTTGCATACTTGTTTACTGTTTTATAACTGTACATATATTAGTGATATTTTTAAATCAGGTTTCACCAATGTATTTTTAAATGGCAGCAATGTAATCCTTATATTACCACATCTCTGTGTTGTAGATAATTGCTACTAAATTTTAAATAATTTGGTGAGGTGCTTTGTAGAGGAGGTATTCTTTCTCCAGCACAGTCAGATGTAAAGTCATTTATCACTAATAGCCAGGTCTCAGTTTTAAATTGCAGTAGATACAAATTTGGAGCAATTTGTGAAATATCAGGGACCTGATCAACTAATTAGTTGTGTGATACAATTACTATTGAAATGAATGGGATCTGATGGACTGTTCCAGGCCCTACATTGTAGGTTTTTTGCTAAGACTTATTTTACAAGATATTTCAAATAGTTTTACTATATCAATTTTGAGTTCTGACATGTTTACAATTTACACTTCTCTTCTTTTTTATCATTCCTGAGGTCGTCAGTAAGATATTTGTGTATAAATAGTTCTTTTCAAGATGGTCTTCTCACTGATTCAGTCAGCATTGCTGTATCTAATTAAGATTTTTAAAACTAAAGAAAATGTTCTTATATATCTAACCAAGAGGGATAGAAGGAAAATATTATGGTAAAGAAGTTTTTTATACAACTATCTCTGTAGTTAATAAGCAGGGAAGAAAAATATGATTTAAAAAATGAATGCAATTTAAAATGTATTCCGTGGTGACAAAAGTGTCACTCTCCGTTTTAAAGGACGATGTGTCAAGGATCACTTCCAAAAACTTTCTATCCTGCAAATTATCATCTTCCAGATACGAGCAAAATCCAGCAAGTAGAGACTGTAAAAGGGTAGTAAGATTTTTACCATCTGTAATCTGTCCTCTTCTCTCTCCCACCTCCATTCAGTAGCAACCCTGTCTACCAGCCCAGTGTAGCCCACTGTAAGATTTAAGTTTTGTCTTACCTAAATTGTTCTTATTTCTAATGTTACTGTCACCAGAGAAACTCTACTAGTGGGAACGTCTTTTGGGGCGGCTGCTGGCATTCTAACCACAGTATCATGTAGATTGGTGTTTTTCAATCTTTTTTTTATAAAGTACCCCCTTTAAAAAAATAAGTACCCCAGTACCTACAGTTTTCAGACACACACAGTGTTTTTCTACCATTGCAACACATTTGTTTAAACAACTTAATCGTAGCTGGGCTGGCAATGAAATTTTTGGGTGTAAAAAGTTAAAAAAAAATAAAGCACTGTAAAACTTAAAACCAGCCCCCCCCCCCCCCCCCACTCCCAGACTTCTCTTGAGTACCCTTGAGGGTACTCGTACCACTGGTTGAGAAACACTGATCATCTCTAAGCAAAGTTAAATGACCCAGTTATTTAAAATGAGGGGTAGTTTACATTAGTATTAACATCATGAAACTGCAACTGTAGGTGAATATAGGTGAAGTTACTGCAGACAAGACTTTATAGACAAGAGTGACAGCTGGAGTACTGTGCAAAGGGAATTTTGGAAACACTTCAGTTGGTACCATTTATATTCCATAAAGGTCTATATGAGCTAAGATTGACACAACTTTAATAAAAGATTTGATGACATATCAGTGACAGCCACCCTCTCTCAAATTAGCAAAGTATCCCTGATGCCTTCTCAGTGACTTGGTACACACTTCTCTTTCTTAGCATGGCTCTACCACTTCTTTATTTGTTTTCTCTTTTTTTAAATACTTGCAACAGCTCTTGATTAACACTGCACTACTGAGTGTAAGCATTTTGTGTTCAGCACTTCAGTAAGAAGGAACTTTGGCCATGATCTTAGTTTCATTCAATGTAGAGTGACGCAGAATGTGCTCTAAGATCATAAGAACACAAGAACAGCCATATTGGGCAAGACCAAAGGTCCATCTAGCCCAGTATCCTGTCTTCTGGCAGCAGCCAACGCCAGGTGCTCTAGTGGGAATGAATAGAACGAGTAATAAAGTGATTGATCTCTTTCCTGTCACTCATTCTCAGCTTCTGGCAAATGGAGGCTAGGAACATCGTTCCTGTCCATCTTGGCTAATAGCTGTCAATGAATCTATCCTCCATGAATTTATCTAGTTCTTTTTTGAACCCCGTTACAGTCAAAGGCCTGGTTTACACTAGAGCAGTGTTTCTCAAAGTGGGACGCAAGCACATTTTGAGAGTGCTGCTAACAGGCCACTCCGGTTTGTTTATCTAAAGGCTTCATAGCAACAGAGCCTCACGGCTCTGGTTCGCAGTGGGAAGCATTGCATGTGAATTTACTTGTATACTGTCCTGTAAAAAGTTAATTGCTTCAGACTATTTTCTTTCACTGTTCAATCTAATAGATCATACTATCAAGTCATTACTGATAGCTTAGATTTTTCTCTGTTAGTTTAATCATCTTAAATTATAACTTCATGACAAATTTCTCACTTTTGAGTTACACTCAAATGTATGGGCTTGTTGTCTCCTGTTAGTCATTGTTTAACTAAACTGTACCTATTTATTGGCTGTCCTCTTACCATGCTAGACAAACTCACTCAGCCAATAATTTGAAATACTGTACAGTGTCAAACATTGTGGCAGGATGTTTGGCTTGAGCAATGGTGAAAGTGATCTGTGTAGTTTTCGCTATTAGATATCTTAAAAATATTAAATACAAATGTAAGTCCACTTCTGACAAAGCTAACACTTTATTCCATGAATTTGAAAATTAAAATATATAAACTGAACAACCCAAATATGATAGCATTTCAGGGAACTCTAAACTTGTCTGCCTCATACCGCATTTGTAATGTTAGTTACTTTTAAGGTCTGAAAACAAAATGATACTATTAGCCAAAGAACCAAATGCATTTTGGCAAATGTTTGGACTTTAGTATTAATGTTTAACATTCATCTTGTTAAACACCAGTGTATAATGCATAAACACTGATAGAAAACTAAAGTGTAAACAATTGATAAGCTTCTTAGAAAAACTTAATGCAAACCATGAAAGCAAAGCTAGTACCAGTGTTGACCATTTTATTTCAGTTACTTCCCTGCTTCTCAGGTGATCTAATGTTATCCTGAACCCGTCAGCCCTGATCTACCCTAGGGCTTTATTTTGAAATAACCTTCCTCAAGTTGAATTAATAAGCGGAGCTTCCAACACTACCACACTTATTATTTCGAAATAATGGGCTGCTTATTTAGAAATCTGTACTGCTTTCTTCAGGGAATAACGCTAATTTTGACATAGCAGTAGTGTGGACATGCTAGTGCCACTATTTTGAAATAAATACTCCCCAGAGTAATTCAAACTAATTACTCCCCAGTGCTTCCTGGGGCTCTAAGTCAAGGTAGCATGTCCACATTAACAGAGTCTGCCTCAGATTAATTTTGAGGCTTCCTTCAAAAGTGAAATTGGGGATACGCTATTTTGATTTTATTTTGGGAGTTATTTAATCAATTTAGTTATTTCAAAGTTGTTTCCTAGTATAGACATGCACTCACAAACATCAGTGAACTTAAGTTGATTACTATTATTGGGGGAAAAAGTGGCTTATAGAATGACAAAGTAAATGTTAACACTTTTAGGAGTGATTTCATGGCTACGCTAATCTTATATTCATAATTTTGTAAGTTGGGACTTCAGTATTTTTTGAAAAAAATTTCTGTAAAGAATGCATATTTGTATAGGAAATATTGTAACATTTTTGAGAACTTTCATTCTGTAATGCTTACAAGTACCCCACATTAGTTTGCATTGAGAATAAAGATAGTAGCTTTAAAAATCAACAAGTATAAACTTTAATTTGTTGTTGTAATATAAATTAGTCAACTTGTTTACATATTTGTATTCTAAAAAGCTTTTTAAAAACATTTTTTATCTGCTTCTCTGGACATTTTTGTAAATGTTACTTTCTGAATAGAACACGGCGCGTATATTATTACCAAAAGTATAACTTTTAATAACCATGTAAAATAAACTGCAGACTTACTTAAAAACTAACTTGTTTGTATTTTATTATAAATTCCTCATTTGTAACAGGACACTAACTGTAAGAAGCTCCTTAAAATATGTTTGATGTATGGTTACAGTGTGGGATGAGGAGGCCTGAGCCTCACAGGCCAGGATCAGGCAAGCCAGAGCCGGAACTGATCCACGGGCTTTACCTGGTGGAAGTGCCTCCACATGCTGCTGCTCCCCCTTCCCCCAGCTGGTGCAGTAAAGCACTGCCGGGCTTTCCCCCACAAAATCTACTAGCCCAGGCCCTCCTAGCCCTGTCTATTTTGAAATAACTCCCCTAATTTCAAAATAAGTGGAGCATCCACACTACCAAGCCTGTTGTTTTGAAATCTGTACTCTTGCTTTCTTTGGGGAATAATGCTTATTTCAAACTTATTTCAAAATAGCGTGAGTGTGGATGCTCAGATGCTGCTATTTCGAAATAATTGGCCTCCAGTGCCCTCTCACAGCTGCACAGATGGCTTTGCTGGAAACACATAGTCTGAACTGAGACCTTTGGTATTGGCTCAGAGATTAGGCCGAGGCTTTATGCACAATGTCTCCTGGGATGACTGCCCTTGGAACTTTTCTTCACAGCTGAGCCAGCTGTGAATGTGGCACATCCATCACCTCCCATGCCATTCTCCCAATTTTGTGGTAACCGCTGGAGGAAATGCACCTGGAAAGACCTGCTGTGGAAGCAGATGGCTTGCCTCTAGTCCCTCAGCCGGGGGCTTGACAGTAAGACCATTGACCAGGAGGGAGTGCTGGGCTGACTGGGAGTAGCAAAAGACCGCTTAGTACCAGCTGGCAAGCGAGCATGAGGCCACGTGCTCCTCCCTCACATGACCTTGTGCATGGAGCAGGCCACCAGCCACCTTCCCGTCTCTGCCCCTGTGGCTTTCCCTTCTAATCTCCCAGGGGCCGCTGAGTCCCCTGAACACGGGGTGGTGGGACCGCAAGAGCAACCAAAGTCTCCAGAGCTGACTGAGGGAGGTGCCAGCCCCAAACCCATCCCTGAGTTTCCCCTCCTACCCTATTCCAGGTTATTTCCCCAGTCTCTCCCATTTCATATCCCCCAAATAAACAGACTTGTTTGTTCAAACAAAAAGGCTTTTTATTTGCTCTGTCAGGGAGGGAGGAAGGTGGGAAGAGAGGGTAGAGGAAAGCGGGGTGTGGGAGAAATGGCACACGGGGCAATGCAATGACCCCTTGTTGAGGCCCAGGTGAGAGTCTCTCAGCTGGCCTTGGCTGAAACACTGTCAAGGCCTCCCAGATGAGCACAGCCCCTTGTGTACTCATTAAATTGCACTGGTGTCAAGCTGCTTGTTAAGCCCTGGCCAGACATTCAGCCTCTGCCTCCCACCCTAGCAGGAAAGTCTCCTCCTTGCTCTCGCAAAGACTGTGGAGCACCCAGCAGGCCGCCACCACCGAGGAGATGTTTTGTTTGCTGAGGTCCAGGTGGGTGAGAAGACTCCTGAACCTCCCCTTCAAGTGGTCAAATGCACTCTCACTGACCATGAAGCACCTGTTCAGTGTGACACTGAAGTTCTCCTTTGTGGGGTCCAGGCTGTCCGTGTAGGACTAAATCAGCCAGGACAGCAAGAGGTAGGCTGTGTCACCCAGGATGCAGATAGGCATGTCCACATCCCCGACCCTAATGGTGCATAGTCAGTTTGCATCTTCTGGAAAGGCATGAGTTTGGGAAGATGCAGGTGACGTGCCTTCCCCGACCACCTGACGTTGATGTCCATGAACCATCCCTTGTGGTCCACTAGGGCCTTCAGCACCATTGAAAAGTACCCCTTCCTATTTATATAGTCCAAGGCTCTGTCTAGACTGCAGGCTTCTTTCGGAAGAAGCTTTTCTGGAAGAGAGCTTATGGAAAAACTTCTGAAAGAGCATCCACACTGCAAAAATGCATAGAAAAAGCAATCTGCTTTTTCAAAAGATAGCGACCACACCGAATGAACACTATCTTGTTATTTCAGCTGTGATTACTCTGGACAGAGTGGCCACCAGGGCAGCTGTGCTTTTTCCTCTTTCCTCTTCTTTCAAAAGAACTCCCTCTTCCCCATCCACACACACCTTTTTCCAAAAGAGCTCTTTCAGAAAAAGGCTGCTTCTTCGTAGTAAAAACCCCTCTGTTTTTTTGATTTTCTTTTGGAAGAACGCGATTGCGGACATTTTTTTTTTTTTTTTTTTTTTAAATGGCTGTTTTTCAAAAAACCCTGTGTAGTGTAGACATACACTAAAGCGCTGTGGTCAGGGGCCAGAATGGGGATGTCCCCCTCTGCATCTGGGGAACCCCATGGTGGGAAAGTGTCCACTATGGTATCGATGTTGCCCAGAGTGATGACCCACTGTAGCAAGATGTTGTATCTGCAGGAGCATGGTCCTGACTGTGGATTTCCCCATGCCAAACTGGTTCCTTACAGAGTGGTGGTCGTCTAGCGTGGCGAGTTTCCACAGGGTGATAGTGCTGTGCTTCTGCCAAGGGTTGGCAGCACGCAGTCTGGTGTCCTATCACCTGAGGATAGGGGCAAGCCACTTGCAGAGCTCCAGGAAGGTGGCCTTCCACATGTGCAAGTTCTGGAGCCACTGCTGGTCATCCCATCACTGCAGGATGATGTGGTCTCGCCAGTCGGAACTGGTCTCCTTCCATCAGAAGCGGTGTTCCACGGTGTCCAGAGGGTTTAGGGGCATTTGCAACAGGAAGAGTGCCAGAACCTGGGTGAAGGGGTCCTCCAGTTTGGACTGGTCATTGTCCTGCTGGATAAACTGCACCAGAAGGCATAGCATGAAGCCCATGAGCATGACACTGCTATGCAGCAGCTTGGGCTCCATGATATCAGTGCAGTGGCATCTGTAAGGGCAACCAGAGCACACTGCACCTATTTTCAGAGAGGTAGCCATGTTGGTCTGAATCTGCAAAAGCGGCGAGGAGTCCCGTGGCACCTTATAGACCAACCAAAGTGTTGGAGCATAAGCTTTTGTGGGCAAAAAAAAAAGTGGGTCTTTGCCCACAAAAGCTTATGCTCCAACACTTCGGTTGGTCTATAAGGTGCCACAGGACTCCTCACCGCTTTTGCACCCATTTTGTGTCCCACAAAGGGGTAGGCAGTGGAGTATAAGATGCAGCCATAGAGAGGAGACCACATCTCCGGTGGTTTGGAGGTTCTTGTTGTGACACCTATCCATAAATTGGCATGTCACAAGGTGCACAACTTTCTGAGCAGGACAATTAAGAACTTGATTTCAGCCTGCTTGCACCAGAGTCAGATGGGACTAGAAAGGGGAAATTAGGGATGTTGTTGGCATGTAGCCTGGAAAGACACCCCCCCACACACACATGTGCCCTACAATGAGGTACATAAATAATCTTGCCCAAAGACTACTATTAGTATCTGTGGTAGGATGTAATTTAGTCTCCAGATTGTAAATTTGGTTAAAATAATTTTTTACATATCACACCTCATTTTAATAAATGTTTCACACCACCTAAACATTAGGAAGCCTTTTTTGTTCACATTCAGATATTGTCATTTTGGCAATTCAAAATTATAGTACAGGCAGTCCCCAGGTTACGTACAAGATAGGGACTGTAGGTTTGTTCTTAAGTTGAATTTGTATGTAAGTCGGAACTGGTACATACTGTAGGGGAAACTCTAGCCAAACATTTCTCCAGAGCTCAGTTTTATTCTCCCACACCTCACTTCCCTCAGTCCTTTATTCTCAAGCTGAGGTGTCTGCTGAGAAAAACCGCTCCGCATCTCCCTGTTCTTCTGGGGGTGGGGGAGCGTGGGGGGAAGCAGCTAGTGCGGAGTTGCCTCACCCCGTTTGTAAGTAGGGATCCGATGTAAGTCGGATCCATGTAACCCGGGGACTGCCTGTATTGTGAAAGACCTAGCGGATAAGTACATACACAGGCACTGTCCACAGCTGTTTTCATTAGATAAGTTGAATAAAATGTACAAATCAAATAGCATACATAGTAGAAAAAAACCTGATTTTTAAAACAACTAAATATTTTCCAAGGTTATTAGGAACCAGGTAAATTTTGTAAAAACGAAATTTTTTGGAAGACTGCTCACTCCGTCCTCCCTCCCTCTCTCTCCCCCCCGCATCCTCACTTTCACCAGGCTGGGGCTGAGGTGCAGACTCTGGTCTTGGATTAAGAGACCTGGAGTGAGAAGGGGGCTCTGAGCTTGGGGCAGGCAGTTGGGGTGCAGGAGGGATTCTAGGTGCAGGCTCTGGGAGGGTGTTGGGATGCAGAGGTGCTCGGAGCTAGGGGTACAGGAAGGGGTTCATGACTGGGGTATGGTTTCAGGATGTGGGCTCTGGCTGGGCCCTGTCGACCTCAAGTGGCTCCTACGTGGTGGTGCAGTGGGGCTAAGGCAGGCTCACCTCTGCGCTGGCCTTGCACCACACCCAAAAGCAGCCAGCAAAATTCCCTCCACTTTACAAATGGGCCTTAACAAAGATGCTAATTACCTTATCCATTACAAAGATAAGGTCCCTACTTATAATCCCTGATTAGCCATTCATTGATTCATAAATAGCTATTCTCTCCCTCCCTTTCCCTCATCCTACCTTCTGTACTAAATCTGATTTGTCAGTTTAATAATGTCAAGTTTCAGAGGGGTAGCCGTGTTAGTCTGAATCTGCAAAAGTGGCGAGGAGTCCTGTGGCACCTTATAGACTAACTGAAGTGGTGGAGCATAAGCTTTCGTGGGCAAAGACCCACTTTGTCAGATGCATGTAGTGGAAATTTCCAGAGGCAGGTATAAATATGCAGGCCAGAATCAGGCTGGAGATGACGAGGTGGATCCAATCAGGGAGGATGAGACCCACTTCTAGTAGCTGATCTGGAGGTGTGAATTCCAAGAGAGGAGAAGCTGTTTTTGTAGTGAGCTAGCCATTCACAGTCTTTGTTTAATCCTGAGTTGATTGTGTCAAACTTGAAGATGAACTGTAGCTCAGCAGTTTCTCCTTGAAGTCTGGTCCTGAAGTTTTTTTGCTGCAGGATGGCTACTTTTAGATCTGCAATTGTGTGTCAAGGAAGATTGAAGTGTTCCCCCACAGGTTTTTGTATGTTGCCATTCCTAATATCTGATTTGTGTCCATTGATTCTTTTACGTAGGGACTGTCCAGTTTGGTCAATGTATATAGCAGTGGGGCATTGTTGGCACATGATGGCATATATTACATTAGTAGATGTGCAGGAGAATGAACCAGTGATGGTATGCCTGATCTGGTTAGGTTCTGTGATGGTGTTGCTGGTGAATATATGTGGGCAGAGTTGGCACCGAGATTTGTTGCAAGGATTGGTTCCTGAGTTAGAATTATTATGGTACGGTGTGTAGTTGCTGGTGAGAATTTGCTTCAGGTTGGCGGGTTGTCTGTGGGCGAGGACTGGCCTGCCTCCCAAGGCCTGTGAGAGCGAGGGATCATTGTCCAGGATGGGGTGTAGATCACTGATGATGCGTGATCAAAATTCCTCTACAGGTTTTTGTATGTTGATCACGCATCATTAGTGATCTACAACCCATCCTGGACAATGTCCCCTCCCCCCTCCCAGGGCTCAGTGCCTCCGCAGTGCCGGGGAGACCCACCCGCCCGCTTTCGGGGCTGCCTTTGGCACAGCCAGCGTGAAGCGACACGGGCTGACATTGGAGCGCTGGCTGCACCCCGGCGGCTTCACCATGCCCGGGGTCAGGACTCCGTAGCGGACGCAGGCTGCGCCTTGGGCTCCTCTGCGTCGGGCCACCCCCGGCCGGGC